TTTTTCAGCATTTTTATTGACATAAAAAGCTCTGCAACTCCAGGGGGAGTAGCTAGTAGTGACAAGCTTCTTTGCCATTAAAGAGCTGATTTCAGTTTTACATAATTCTAAGTAGTCAGCTTTCATGTGGCTGGGACTAGCTTTTGAAGGAATCATGCGATCGGTAAATCCCTTTTCATAGGGTAAAGAAACAATATTCTTCTTTCTGGCCCAAAAAGCATTAGGAATTTCACTACAGATTTCCTTTAGAAAGTTCTGTCTTAGTGATTCAATTTTCTGTTGCTCAGTGGGTTGTACCAATCTTTGATTAATTGCTAAGGAGGATACCTCCTTTTGTAAATAATTCAGTTGCTTTTCCTTAAAGATAATGTTATCTTTAAGAGCATTGATATGCTTATTTACTGGTGGGGTCAAGAACTGGAAAGTAATTGACTGGCCATGTAAATTAGAACATATTCCATGAGAATCAATTTTCTCAATTGGCATAATCAAAGCTAAAAAGGGGGTGCCCAAAATAACTTGTTGTGCCATATTCTTGATGAGTAAGAAAGTAGATGGTAAACAAACACCTTCTTTACAAATGAAAACATGATTAAGTTTATACTTAATCTGCATTTTACCTCCACTTGCACTGGTAAGACCTTGAGTGGTTTTCTCAAAATATTGAGTAGGAACCAATCCTTCCTGTATGCAGTTCATGTCTACACCACTATCAACTAAGGCGATCGCATTAGTGATGGTGTACTCTTGATTAATTACCAAAGTGATAGATATATACCATTTTTGGTAAGTAACTTGATTCAAGAGTTGAAGGTAATGAGTACTTTTGGATTGAGGGACTTCAATCTGGGATGATGAAGTGTCAGTAACAGATGTTGCTTTTAAAAGAGTAATTTCCAGGTCCATCTTATGTTGACGAGACTTTAACTGGCGAATTTCTTCTTTTAAAAGATTAATCTCCATCCTGAGATCAGGGAGATTAGCAGGACGAGAATTTTGTCCTTGGTGTTCTAATCTGCTTAGAACTTCTTTCATGCTGTAATGATTTTCTGCTCTCAGAAAATCTGGATTATCCGTATCCTCATCAGATCGTGCCAGAGCAGAACCTATTTCAAAGACTTTCATCTTGATTTGAGGATCCTGGATATGATCTATAAGATCCAATAAGGATTGTTGAGTCGAAGTCAAAACATTTAAGCTTAACCCATTCATCTCAACAGTTGCCTTATAATAATCATCATGAGAGAGATTACAGGAGCATTTTGGATTTCCAATTTCTGCTTCAGAGGAAGAAGACTGTAATTCCATAACAACATCCCCATAATCACTTGATGATTCTGATTCAGAAGAACTAGTATTAAGTAACAATTTACTTAATTGAAGTCTCAGTTCTTCTTCTATGTGAAGACTACTGAGTTTCTCCTTAATTCTGCACTTGTTTGCATAGTGGCCTATACGTCCACATTTGAAACATTTAGCCTCAGCTTTGGGCTTTCCTTTACCCTTTGCTTTAGGAATATATTTCCTTTTAGGCTTAGTATACTGTCTAGAATTATCATTTTCTTTTGAATAATTCTTTCTTTTGGAATACTTCCTTTTATAAGGTTTTTCAACCTTATTTCTTTTCCTAGGTTTAGGATAAGATAAGGGAGTCTGGTAGGCAAATTGATCACAAAATTCACCTACTTCCTTTCTACCAGTTAATCTTTGTGATTTTAACTGGGATTGTAACTTCAGATCATTACAGAGAGCTAGACCTTCCTGGATGACAATATTGACTAATCCACCATAGGTATAGTTTCTGTAAGGGATAGAGATACCATTATTCATATCTTTAAGCTTCTTCCTGATTCTTTCGGCAAAAAAGGTTGGTAAACCATCCACAAATTTTGCCTTCCAGTGCTCATGATTTGCATCATTGAGTTGGAGAACCTTTGCTAAGAATACATCTTTATACCACCGAAAATGAGTTAAAGATGGACATCTTAGATTCTGGAGAAGTTCACGACTCCTTTCACTATTAGCACCTTCAGGGCCAACAAAATGTTGGATTATTGTGGTGATGAGGGTATAAACCGCATCTGGAGCAGGTCCTGATTGTTGAGTAGCTTCATCTTTAACAAGCTTGGTAGCAGAAAAGATTTCAGCTTTCTGAACGTCAGTGAGGACATTATCCCACCATCCTTTAAGGATTCCTGTAAAACCAGCAACGACAAACTTAGCAATGGTTGGGTCAGTGTTGTTGTTGATTTTACAAACTTGGCTATACATCAATATTTGATGAATAACCTCGTAAATCTGATAATCAGATTTGCCATCTATGTTCCATTCATAAATGGTCTTGCCATGAAAAGATTTCTGTGTATGGAAATAATCTTCTTCATACAAGATATCTTGAGGTGTGGGTCTGGGATAATAATATCTACTCGGAGCAGGGGCTGTATTAGAGTGGATATTCTTATCATAGACTATTCGGTTTAACTCAGGTATCTGAGGAAAATCCTTTTGGAAAACCTCAATATGAGGTAACATATTTTCAGAATCAGAACCAATTTCAGATTCATCATGGGATAAAGTCTGAAGTTTAAGTCCTTGGATTTTCTGAGTAAGAAGAGTAAAAAATTCTTCATTCTTCTTAGGATGGGTAAGATTGAAGCCTTGAACTTCAATCGCAGGTTTGACCAATGCTTTGGATAAGGAAGCTTCTGGAGGAGAAGGTTTAGCAGTCATACACTTAGTATTAATTGTATTTAATACCGTGTCGATGCCTGTTTCAATTCTCCCAAGCTGAGACCCTACCGTTTGTAAACAAACATTAGTATAATTGTTCTGCCTGTAAACATGAGAAATGTCCTTTTTAGTAGCATTACAGGATGGATCAATTATTCTAGGTTGGCTATAAGCCTTGGTTTCCACTTTGGAACCACTGTCAGGGTCAATCCTTTTCAGAATTAGATGTTCAGTGGGAGGATGGACAGAGTGGAAAACCTTATCTTCAGATGTGGTCCATGGTTTGAGAAAATCATCCAATATGTTGATATTAACAAGAGAATGATTGGTCATATAAAACCAAGAAACAAAAGGTATAACCATTTTGCGTTCTTGTAGAAAATCATAAAATTGAGTTTTAAAAAGCTGTAATTGATTTTGGTCAAAAGCTTTAAAATACCAATTTCTGAATTCTTTATATCGATCCTGTTGAAATTCAGTATTAATGGCAATTCTATCGGGGACAAAATCCATTAAAACTAATATTCATGAGGGTCATTGATGTCTGTAGGATCATCAAATTGATCCTTGACAGATTCATTTCCGATTCCCATTTCAGATGGAGTTGGGCTGAATTCAAGTCCAAATTGGCGACGAGACATACCTATTGGTGCTTTCTCGTAGACTCCTCTTGGAATTTGATTTTGAGATTGCTGTATTCCTTTCAGCTTGAGTTGTCTATTGGCACCAGCCACTTCAGGGAGATCTTCCTTTCGGTAATCCGACGAGATCGAATGGCGAGAAGGAGGACAAGAAACATGATAAGGAAGATGACTTCCTTTAGATGATGTAGATCTAGGTAGATCTATGGATTTTCTGAAATTCAGAAAAACATCACCATCTTAGTCCTGAATAACACAGTCTAAGCTATGATTAGCAATTGGCTGTGCTGGAACGGCATTAGAAATCGTCCAGTGTTCAGGAAATGTTATCTCACTCCAAGGAATCATCCTTTTTGTGGCAACATTTGATGTGTACATGTTGGTATCCCATAACGCTGTTACTCCTTTAGAGTCTTTGCGTATGGCATTGGGACACATAGTATCAAGTACTTTGTAATGGATGCGATAAATAACACTTATCACTTCCGATCCAGGTAAGTAATCATACCCATAGGTCTGAACACGAAGACTAACTGCCTCATGGATGTTTTTATCTGTTAAAGATAAATTCAGACTAGGATAGACATTAAAATAAACCGGTCCATGACATAGACTGGTTTCCAGTGCACCCATCAAAGAAGGGTGAAATTTCAGACATCGAGCATCCCAAAGGGTTGCTTGAATATAAGCATCCATACCTAACAAGGTTAAATGTTTAAAAGCAATTTGAATTAAACCTATATGGATGTACTTATATTTGTGCATGTGCCTCTGAAGGTCACGGAAGACAATAACTTAATTATTGTATCCTTAGTGCTTAATTGCATGGTCTATTCCATGGTCTTGACAGTCCATAGATCAGTTAAATTAAGCATTCCGATTTTGTAAATGCTTTTTGCACTTACTGGAGGGATAGTCCATCTGTTCAATTTATTTTGAACATTGGTCCATTCCACTAATTCAGTATTTTTTACCAGTTCTGAATCCTGGTTGTCCTGTACTCCTGAAGAGGAGGAAGATGGTTTTAACATGGCTGCTAAATATTGTTAATGCTTAAAGGTCTGTATAGGATAAATATTATCATATTATGTAATGAACAGTAAGTTACTATTCTGTCGTCGTTCTGCTTAAGAGAGATTCTATTACTTGTCTGTCAACGATTTACTGGAAATAATACCCTGTGCAGCAATCTAATGCAAAAACGGGTTAAACATTCCAACGCGACTTTTGGACGACCCATAATGGAATCTGGGATAAACATAAGTTGGACAGAATAGTAGTCGTATTATTCATAACATAATTACAATAATAATCATGCTACCCGTACCTAAGAAGCATTAACAATGGAAAGTTAAGCCATCATGGCTTTGATACCAAATATAATAGGATCGATGTATGATTAACATTATTAATTAATCAATCTAATAACACGACCAACAAGGAAACAAGTATCTAATCTGGGCTTAGTGAGAAAAAAATAGAATATGTTATTATTGGGTTCGTCAGGCTGAAAGTGGGGTTAGGCTCAGGTTAGGTTCGGGTGGGCCTCTCTCCCCATAATTTTGGTTGCAATAGAATGAGCTGATTGGGCCTGGACCATAATTTTTATATGGGCCAAACTTTAGTGGTTTCCTAGGGCTCTAGAAGTATTTTGTCCATGGCGGGAAGGTGCTCTAAAATAGAGTGGTGGCGAGTCAGGAGCAACCACCGTTCCCAAATAATGTCATTCCTTGAAGATTTCCAAGCCAGTAAGTTCCTCTCTCCTTAAATATATATACACACACACACACATATATATATCTGTTTATGTGTGTTTCTGGATTTTTGTATTGAAGTTCCAATGCTTACATTTTAAGGTTTTATAGAAACCCTAGCTAATCTGAAAGTGGTGACAGCAGTTGAATTTTAAGAATTCGTCAATCAATTGAACCTTTTTATGAATTTTTCGTCGTCATTGCGTAATTATGGTTCTTAATCATTTGATGATAGAGAGAAATGGAGAAAGAAAGCTGGAGATAGTTCTAGAGAACTATTGATTCGGTGTCAAAATTTTAAACCTAATGATTGGCTGTTTTTACCGAAATTTGGATGTTCTTTTGTGAATTTGTTTACGGGGGTGTTCAAAAAAATCTTCCCTTTCTCTAAATTGGCATAAATCTGGAAGCTGATGCACATATCCAGTTGTCTTAGAGCTTTCATATCCATTTGAGATGTCTTAATGGAACGTGACCCTTGTGTAACCAGGGAATTACTGTAGATGATAATGCCATCGCAACAACTCCAGTTCCATTTGTAGTGAATCTATTCATATATAATATCGTATATACTCTTCCAGGGTTGTTTTTTGATAGAATTGGCCAAAAGGGTTTTTGGAAAACACCCCCCCCCCCCCCCCCCCCCCCCCCCACAAAACAAAAGGATTTGTTTGCACCCACGAGGAGTCGAACATTAGGCCTGATGCTTCATGAGCAGCACCAAGGCCAAGTGACTTACTGTCACAGGGGTAAATTCTTAACACGAATCTAGTGGCCTGTGATGGCACTAAGCCAGAAATATGAAGCAACGCCTTGGTGCCACACAGGCCGTGCCACTGCGCCAAATCTCTAGGCCCGTGACACTTACCCACTTGAGCCAAACCCTTGGGGTTTATCATTCTATGAAATTTGATGAGATTAAACTTGATTTACCAAAAAGTGGATCGAATTCAGTCCACCCAAGTAATAATTTTGATGGATGATATCATGATATTCTTAAGCAGTCAACAGTAGTCGATAATGGGTTACTCAATTTGGTATCAATTGTGCAATGATATTTTCCATTATGTGTATTACTAATAGTCTTGTAGCATCTCAATTGACAAAAATTTTTGGGACATAAAAGATCAAAAGAAACTTATTTGACATGGATGTCATTCCGCTGTTTTTACCAGTGATTATATTATAGCCCATAACTTTTTGAGGCTATAGCCATTATCATTCTATTACTTTGGATTGGAGGAATTGTTATAACAGACTGATGTGAGTTGTATGGAGACCTTCGTGGCATTGTAGCTGCAGTTGCTTGAACTCTTTTAGAGTGCAGAATGCTTTTAAACTTCTTTTGATTGTTAGAATATTTCTTACTAGATAATGCTTTTTATGGGTTTGTTGCAAGTTCTCGACATTTGAAAAGAATGAGAGGATGCATTCTGTTTAAAAATGAAGCTTCTCATTCAAGGAGGGTTTAGAACAATATTTTCCATAAAAGTTCCAGTTAAGTGAAATAATAGTGTAATTAATTTCCTCCTTGGTCTGAATCTATTGATGAGAGACATAAGGACTAATTGAGAACCTGAAGTTATGTTTTTATAATAGTTTATCTGTTTTTTATTTATCATCCGGAAATACAAGACTAGTTAAGTTTTATTTCTGACAAGAATTTTTATAGTTTCTGGAACACAATGAGAGTTCAATATTTGTTAGATGGGGGTGTTAGAGCATGTGTGTGTGGTAGGTGGGTGTGCTAGTTGAAATATATATTTATTTCTTGCTTGTATTCCAATGGTTAAATTATGGTGTTGAGTAGATTCATTAAGAAAATTGAATGCTAGTGGACTCGTAATACATAGGTTTTCTATGTCTTTCACGTTGAGTTTCTGATACGATGTTTATTCCATCTCATTTCGAGGCTTTTAACCACGAGTAGGGGAGTGGGCTCCAGTTTTATGAGATATGTATAGAGCCAGACACGCACATGTATTTATAATTGCACCATGTTTAGGGTGGGGGTTTGACAAGGACATTTATTGTGGTTTAAGTGCTATATTCATATTGATGATATGTTTGTTTTATAATAAGTTACCTGAGGGGTTCAAGCCTGAAAAATTACCTGTTAAATTAGATGGAAATTTTTTATTTTATTTTTTTTCCTGAATGCATATGGAACATTACTGTTAATGGTAGTGAGATTACTTGTACTATTTTTATATTTTTTTGATAAGTGAGATTACTTATACTATTTAATGTCCACTTTGGTGATGTTTGGAGGTTACTAAGTCGCCTGCTTTTGTTCAGATTTGGAATCACTGCCTAATATACTGCAAAGGAAGTATGCATTGTTGCGTGACTTAGATAAAAGCTTACAAGGTATGTTTGCATTGATAAGGATTATTTAGCCCATTCTATCACTATCTCTTGCATATTCTTTCTTATTATAGAAATGAAATTTTTATTCACCATGCCAAATGTGCTTTCTTCTTTTTGGTGATGGAACTAAAATCAACTTATTTTTTGTGTGTGGTTTGAGCATCTTTCTATGTGCTTCGTTGTTGTCATGGACTAGATGATTCTGGCAATTTTGGTTAGGTTTTCTTTTGCAAGAGTGAGCATGATAAAAAATGAGCGTTAGGTCTAAGGTTCGAATCCTCTTGGGTGCAAACAATTCCTTGAGGGGTGGTGTGTGAGTATCAACTAGGGAAAAAAAAGTTAACAAATCACGTTTATGCTTTAAGCACCATTTAGTTATGTTTGGTACAAATGCAAAGTTGTAGAGTTCTTTTATAAAATAACTGTATGGATGCATAATTAGATCAATGAGAAAAAGATGAAGATTCTGAAAAATCCGGATGCATGACTGATAGATAGCACGTGGGGCATCAAGTTAAATTTTAATAATTTCACATTCACATTTTTTTTTCAGTTGCCATTTTTAACAACCAAACAGCATTTATTTTCATCAGTTCCTTTCTAAATGATTCGGGAAGAAAAGTTGGATGTATAAAAGTCTTCATGGAGTTTCCATGCCTGTGACGGGGAACACAGTGGTTGAGTTTGTAATAAATTTTATTTCAATGATTTTGTGAGCAAGTTTAACAGACACCTCTCTATCTTCCCCCACCTCCCTCTCCCGTAATTCTTTTGGTTATCCCAGAGTTTTATATTGTCATAGATGGCCTTATAGTAACACTTTTTCATTTTTTGATATGGGAGGTGGTATTATTTATACTCATTTCATACATCAAATGGTATTTCTATCCATTGTTGGTATTTCCCTCTATTTTGTACTAAAATTCTTGTATGAACCAGTAAACTCTAACAAGTTTTTGTGTGTGTTTGTGTGTTTTGTGTTCTTTTCCGTTGGTTTTCTGCAAAAATGTTGAGTGCACTTATTGTTACCTATATTTATGATCTGCAAAATTGTTGAGTGCACTTATTGTTACCTATATTTATGATCAGAGATTCAAAGGCAAAATGAACAACATTGTGAACAAGAAGTAGAGGATATTAAGCAGGGAATTAAGGCCGGTAACATTACGCCAAATGCTACACTTGTTAAATTCTCAGACGAGGCACTTGATGAACAAAAGCATGCCATCAGAATTGCTGATGAGAAGGTTGCCTTGGCCGTTCAGGCATATGATTTGGTAAGAAGCATGGCAATTCCATCTTTCTCTCTATACAAAATAACTGCCTTCTTTATTACACCCCTTGAACATAGTATCTGCATTGACTGTAATTAATATGTGGTTGTTCTATATTTTCTGGCCCTTTTTTTCGTGATTGATCGTGTTCGTTATATTTGTTGTGTTTCTACTCCCCTCTCCCCTTTTCCTCTCTCTGGCATCACTTTTCACTATAATCTGCAAATTTTTCTGCGAGGACTGCCATAGAGCTAATTTTGCTGCTGCAAAGATTTTGTTTTTTTACTTATTTTTGAGGCCAGTTACATTTAATATCTCATGGAAATTTTTGATCAATTGAATTCATTTTACACCTTTCTTTTTTTCTCTCTCTTTGTGACCATGTTAGAAATATTATGCATATATAGTTGAAAATGTGGGTCTTTATCACTGGTTCCTTTGGAAGGATACGAATATTATTCTACCTTCCTTTTATTCTCGTGATCTGGGGCTGAAAATCTCAATACTACATTCAATGTGTAAGAATAAGCTTCAAATTAGATCCACATAAAAACTGCAATATCCCAAGGATTTGAATTGATGTTTCCCATTGTTTAGTATCTTTAACTCAGTGTTTACATTGTAATTATGCAATAGGTAGATGCTCACGTTCAACAACTTGATCAATATTTGAGAAAATTTGATGAAGAACTTCGCCGTGGTAATTTTCTTTTATCTTCTTAGTTTTTTAGTAAGGCCGTATTATGATCTGGAATTCAGTTTGGCAAGCTTAATGTTTGTTTGATTGCAGAGATATTTATCTTTGTTTTGTGGATCCCCCTAATTTGATGTTTCTTTTTCACTTGCGGCAGAAAGAGAGAATGTTGGTACAGCTGGTTTGCCTGTTCAAAACCTTGATGGTAATGTGAAATCTGGAAGGGGCAGTGATAGTAGCAAAGGAGGCCGTAAGAAGTAATTATCTTTGCTTTATCTGGAGTTTCAAAATTCATTACTTGTTTTTTTTTTTTTTTTTTTACAATTCACATGTATAGACCATTGAGGCCTTTAATCATGATTATCCTTTTGTCTTGGAAGCTTTTATGCCCTCTGATAAAATTACTTTATAGTTCAGGTTTATAAGGTTTCATGTTACATTGAGATTGTTGGACCCACAACTTTCCGTCCTCCCTCCTGAGAAGAGTGTATGTGAAGATTGAATTGGATAATTGAAAACATCATGGAAGATTAGAGGAGATTTCCTCTAACTTAAAGCAGAAAAAACTCAAAAAGAATAAAAGAATGTTGAAAGAGTATGAGGGTCATCTGGCAGAGCAAAGGCTAAGGGGTTAGAAGGCCCAATGAACAAGGTGACTCCTCCTTTAGGTAGAAGACCCTTGCTTAGCTAATATGGGGGATCAAGGGAAAGCATGTCAACTGCTCTTGACAGGTCAATGAATTTATTGGTTGACTGATATTTAAAGCAGGAAGAATAAGTAAAATTTGAAATGAGGAGAGTAGGAAATGCAAAGATTCTGCATGTAAGCTAAAGTTCATGCTCATAAATAAGTAGAAAATATGATGACAGGCACCATTGTCGTCTGTTCTTCATTATTGATCACTAATTCCAAATGTTAGCGTTCTTTTAATGTTTTTCGAATGATTTTGGTTATCAATTAAATCAGTAAGATTTTTTGTTCTGTCACTGTTTTAGGTTCTGACTATTACTTGCTTCTCTAAATGGCTTCTTTTATCATCTCACTATAAGTTGTAGACTTCTAGTTGATATTCGTGTAAATTGAAGTTCTATTCATAGTGTCTATACCTTTTTCTTTTTGCTTTCAATATGGAATATTTCTGTGATCATCTATTCTTGATATTGTCATCATGTCTATTTTCTAAACCTTCCGTAATGAGTGAAAACAATTAGTAGGATTTTGTGATCTTTATTGGGATAGTACATATGTTTATTTCGTTTGGGGCAAATAAATATATTAACAAATAGAAAGTTTTCTTTCTCTTCCTCCAGTAATTATGTTGATGGGCTTAAATTTCAGAGTTGGATAGAGGCAAGAGAAAGTAAGGAGAATAAGTCAGCCTCTTGCCCTTCTGTTGGTCTTCAAAAAGTTCTTTTGCCATTTATAAATTGTAGGAGTACAGGAGTATAGAGTACTGATGGTGATATTGCCAATTCATAGAAAAAAAATTCATCAGCAAAGTGAATCATGTTGAGCTCGAAATGTGGCAATCAGATGTCCCATACATTTTTGTCTCAACTTGTCTAAGACTGACCAAGGTATAAACCTTGGAGAAAACAGGTCTTGGTGAACTCTCGGTTTCAGACCAGATTCCCACAAAAACTAGTACTCAAAGGGATTTTTCATTTTTTTTTTCCCTTCTGTCTTACAATTATCACAGTATTCAGGGGCGGAGCCAAAAAAATTTATTTGGGGGGCCAAATTAGTAAATATAAAGTAAAATGATTGTATAGATTTATTTATTTATTTTTTGAGTTTATTTTTAACGTATATTGTTAAAACACATGTCTTTAAATGATAGTTGAGGTTGTCAAGTGTCTAAGCATTTTTTTTTTCCTTCCCTCTCTAATTCCTAACAAATAATATGTGTGTATATATATATGTTGCAACTTGCAATAAGGATTAACATAATAATTAACAATTCTTTTACTAAATTTAAATTTGAACCACATTTAATAACCATAAGTTAACCATAAATATATATATATTTTTAAAATTGGAAGGCGGGCTTTAATATTTATATAGAAAAATCGCCATTAATAACTATATTTTAGTACCATAAATATGGTTGTGCAAATTTTTGGAGGGGCCAACTTTAATTTTTATATAGAAAATCACTACCATTAATAGTATAATTTAGTAGCACTGGTAGGGTTTTGCAAAAATTTCCGCCCTCTGCCCCTGACAGTATTGCTTCCTGAAATTGAGCTTTCTAACTGTTTTTTATTTTTAAAAAAAAAATAATAATAAAATTGGCTCACTTTTAGTTTGCATTTTCAAAGTGGCTAGAAGCATAATCAAAATGGAACATTCAGGTTCACATTCTGTACCATCATTAATTGCAGTTCATTAGGACTTTTCTGGTCAACTTTTGATGACCTTGCCGGATGTTCCGTCCATATCAGCAACAAACTAGTGGCAGTAACTCAGGTATCGCCTGTCAGCAACCAACCAATGACTTTATTGCAGGAGAGAGAGAGAGAGAGAGATAGTTTTGTATTGGCATCTAGGCTCAGTCTTGGGTGAGAATCGTGAGACACAAGAATATCCTACGGCCCTAAAAAATATTCCGAATAATCAAAAAATGGTAAGTGTTCAATTGGAACATGAAAACATGACTGAATGGGTCCTAGTTACTCTTCCGGATGGATTGGAAGAAGGGAGGAAATCCTCAACAAGGAAAATGATCCAATGACTTTGAAAGAATTCAACGAGGAGCTGTATGAGGTGAAAATCTCAATTACTGTAGAGTGGCAGTGAGGGTGACTTTCTGTCAACTTTTCAACTATCACCCCAAAAGAACACAGTGGTGTCATACAATGGACAAAGTATGTGTATATGTATATATAGTATATTTAACCTTCTTGATCCGAGTAGTTGGGAAAAAAGCTTTGTTGAGTTGAGTTGAGTTGAAGCAGTTGGAAATAGACTTTGTTTAGTTGAGTTTAGTACAGTACACACTACACACAACATTGTTAAATGGTGAACATGGTAACCACGATAAGATTAAATACCACTTGGCTATTAAATATTCTATATGATTCTCATATATATTTGCATTTATGCATACACACCTTCATCAAAACAGACATGCATATATGTATATTGCATAATCAGCTTAACGAAGATAAATTCAACATCATCCTGATCTGTCTCTCATCTTCAGCATCTCTAACCTTGAAAACCTTAAAAAGAAAATGTTTCTAGGAATTTTAAATCAATGATTCAAAGCCAAATTTATTCAAATGAGACATTCATTTCATATCTTCATAGAGTATTCACATCAGCAAAAACTGAGTTTTGTGGTACGCAATGACTCCTTTTCCTGGCTAATGAGATGGCTCAGTTTTTCTAGTTTAGTGGACCTTTTTGCACCTTGCAATATTATCACATCGTGGGCAAGGCGAGTTTATCAGCATTCCTTAGAGGTTTCTTGGATATTGGTATATTTGGTCAAATAAACTTCTTAGCTTCCAGTGAAACTGACTTGAATCGAGCGTTGATCTGAATCTGGACCAAGATTCTGGATCATGAGCTGTGGTTAACCCCCCTTGTGTTGTACTCTGACTTCTTCCTGAGCCAGCCATACAATATCTTATCAAATAAGACAAGAAAGGAAACTAATTAGAATTGTATGGAATTCAAAATCTGCCGCATCATCCAGTACAGTTCTCGTACAGGATCACGAGAAGACTGAAAGAAAGGGTTAAAGTGTGGCAAGATATTCTGTTAAAGTTCACTTTAGATGTTGCTCATTCTTTGGATATGTGTAAAATTTGTCATTAAGGCTGAATAGACTCTAGATTAGTCTGGTTTTTGCTGGTTCATTCCACAAGGAAACCCAAATACACATGGCAGCTTTTTTTAGAGCTCTCCATTCCCACTTCCTCTAAGGTTTGCCAACTCTTGTTTTCCCTTTTTGTTAGTCCAACAACCATGTCAACATGCTTCAATGATTCTTCTTCTTTGTCTAGGGTTTGTCAATTCTTGTTTACCCATTTTGTTGGTCCAGTGCCCACGTCAATGTGCTTAACACCAACCTCATTACCTTTATACTGCTTTTGATTTATCAAACTTATGTTGACTTAGATGAGTTTTTGTTAATTAGCTTTCTATTTTGGTCGAGTTTGAGGATCATGTGCTTGGTAACTGAGGATTTTGTTTTCTGCTTCTGGTAACTGCATCCTTGTCAATTACTGGCCTTTTCACTTTTATTTAGGTGCAAAATTTGCATTTACTTGGAAGAACACCGATACGCTCTATTCGGTGGAGTTTCGAAGTTGCCACTTGGAGGATAATCTAACGAGGAGGGGATTAAGTAGCCCCCAATTTGCTGAAAGGAGAGGATGAAACTGGCAGCAGCATAAGCATTTAAATCTTATTAGAATTCTGTACAATTGATAGAATACACAATTTATTGTGCATTATATCTTTCTAAAGAGTTGTTTTTACAGCTTCGCTTGTCTGGGGCGCCATTACCATATATTTGTCCTGGGATCTGCCATTAACAGCTGAAGCATTGCATTGCATTGCATTGCTACAAAAATCTTGGCTCGTTTATGAAATCATTTAATCAGTCCCTACTGATTGACCAGACAAATCAAACTTAAGTTCGTTAGTATAATTGATTATTACTGAAATTTTCCAAATATGCTAGATATGGGAATAATTTCAAATTTATTGCTGAAACTTTTGATCTTTTTTTCTTCTTAAATTACACTAGAGTGGCCCCAAAGATTTCTTATTTCTTTGATTTTCTAGCTTTAATATCCTGAATTTTGTCAAATCTCAGTATTATCTAGATTGAAAAAATCTGAAAATTTTAATGGCGAATGATTATCGTAACCTGATTTTCTTGCTGTATGGGTTTAATTTGCTTAACAAGTGATTGAAATCTTTTTAACAAATGGATTCTTATGATCTGAAATATGACTGTGCTTACGAAAACCTGAGTTTGTTACTTTGTGGATTTGATAAGCATAAAAGGTAAATGAGAACCTTTATTGGTTTCCTGTTAAAAATTCCTGTATAACTTTTTTAAAAGTTGTAATACTTGGATGTTAGGAACTAATTTTGTTGACATCAGATATGTGGCTTTGCACTTGATTAATCTTTTTATTTTTTGGCTTTGTTGTCTGAAAAGGCATTTTTCAAACAGATATATTATACAATATATGTTTCTGCACCCTGTAAGTTGGTAGCAATTATATTCTCTTGAACTGGTTGAAGAATGTGATAGATATGAGGTTTAAAATAGCTAAACATGCAGGACACGGCTAAATGCAGCGGCAGCAGCCGCAGTTGCAAATCCAACCAGTATGGATCTAGACCTACCAGTGGACCCTAATGAACCCACATACTGTTTATGCAACCAAGTGAGCTACGGGGAGATGGTTGCGTGCGACAACCCTGATGTATGTTTTCAAGTACTTCAATTGTCTTTTTTTTCTTTCCTTTTTTTTTTTTTTTTTCTTTTTGTTTTTTTTGGCTGTTTATTAAAGTGGTGATCTGATGAAAGCGTCTGCTCTTTTCAACAGTGCAAGATAGAATGGTTTCATTTTGGCTGTGTTGGTCTGAAAGAACAGCCCAGGGGAAAATGGTATTGTTCAGATTGTGCTGGAAATCAAAAGCGTCGGAAAGGAAAATGATGTGAAACATCTTTCATGAACCTGTAAAGTATAGATTTACTCAGCCTCTCTGAAAGTTGCTCAATGTTGGCACCATGTGAGTTGTAGAAAAAAGATATTCAGCCATGAATTTTTCAGTTAATGTGGTTTGTAGATGTTGGAGTTCATCAACGGAACATGGGCATGGATACTATGGAAATTCTTTAATGGGCATTGCCAAATTAATAATAATCTTAGCAGACAATCGTTAATTTAGTCGGCAAATCCCAGGATTATGCATACAAAGATGGCTCATCCCTTTGTCTGTAAACACATCTCCAGAGTCCAGACTTTTCAATCTGGATTGTTTTTATCATAATTGGATGTTGAAATATGGTTGAACTCATATGAGGTGTTGATGAGTTGATGAATTAGCGTTTTGCTATGATGTTTTTTAGTCCTGTTATCATCAAAATTCAGTAGTAGAAAGTCATTGACAATCAAGACTAAGTGAAAGTCTCATGAAGTGGACCTGAATGATGCATCTAACAGAAGTTTCAAGTGCACGGATTCAGATTGAGCTGAGCTCCCTATCTCATACTCGCCAGTATTGAGATGGGTTGACTTTCTGTACACGTATGCTTTTGTCCATTTGTATTAACAGTTTTTGCATGATACAAAAAATTACATACAGTAATAGCATGAAAAGTAATCTAAACTGGTAGGGGGAGAGAGTGGGTAAAATGTATTTGAAAATGCCTAAAGATTTGGGATTCAAAACAGTGGAGATATTACATGATTTTATTTCTTTTTAAATTCTAAAAATTGAGGATTTCGTTGCTTAATGTTCACTCTATATCAGATCTATAGTGCCATTTTAGTGCATTGGTGTCAGATCTATGGTGCCATTTTAGTGCATTGGTAGAATCAAAATCAAAATTGACGTAGGAATTATAAAAGTGAGCAGAGAAGGAATGTTTTTAGAATCAAAATTACTTAGAATTATAAAAGTGGCAAAGAAGTGAAATGAATGTTTTAGACAGTTATGATAAAATTTCGTTGGTTAATGTTTTTTTTTCTAGTTTTATAATGTTGATCTTAATTTTTGGAACATGATCAGAAACAATTAGACAATAGGTTACAAGCAGATTTGGCAAATAATCTCTAAGATGTTGAACCTGTGGAATGCAATTATAGCTCCCAAAGTTGGACAGCGAATAACCCTAAAACATCCCCGAGTCGGACAGCGAATAACCCTAAAACATTGAACCTCTCCATTAACATTAAATCTATCCACTATGTCTTGCATGTGCGTCAGGAGTGAGATGTCTCCTTTAACACCCGCTCCTTATATGTAGACATTATATAATTCTTAAAATCTCTACACAAATGTGATGCCACGGATGAGCATTTTTTCCATTTTCTTTTCTTCCTCAACCCTCTATAGTTCTATTAATCCATTGAGAAGTTTTTATAAATACATTGCTGATATGATCTGTAAGTATTGGGTATCTCGAAAAATAATACCCCCACCAATCATTCATTATTTATTTACTCATATTATAAAGAAAAATAAATCAATCATATATTGTATATTCATATTATTATGGAAAGAAAAAATATATAGTTGGTTAGGTAAAACGTTGTGCTCGTATTCGAGTCCCTCCTCTCTCTAGCGGGTTTCCACAAACAAATTAACCGACCAAACATGCTAAACTCGAGTGAGCTCTATTCATTAGAGTGGTGTGTGAGTTTCTTATTTTATTTTCATTGCATTTTTTTCTTATATTTCAGATTTAAAGGCCACCTGTGGGGTGGAAACAACCTTATTGACTATGAAAATTAGAGTCTTCTTTTTAATAAATTCATGATCAGTGTGTAATAGAAGAAGAAAGAAAATAGGACTTGTTATCTTCTACTTGTCATACTATTCTTAAAAAAAATTAAAAGAAAATGGATGGAAATTGAGGGTTCATTAACCCCTCCAACAAGGTTTTGCAATCCTATTATAAATCAAATGGAAGGATATGGAAGGAATGAACCCTAGTTTTATGAAATTTTCAAAATGCCAAATTTACCTTCAAGTTTATATTAGTACAAAATCAAAATACTATTTAGTCAGTCCTAGGGCATCTACCAACCACGGACATATACATGTATACATTTATATACATCTACATCTATAAATATGTGTATATATGTATCTAGCTAATCTTATGCACACATATATAAATAAGTAGAGATAATTACACTGATTTATTACATGAATTACCTACCCGATAACGTTTTAGTAATATCAATACTGCTAATCTAGATAATTAGCCATCATGTATGAGTATGACAGCTTTCTAATATTTTTTATACTAGTATAAATATGTAACAAAATTACAAAGATCCTCAGCGTGGGCGGGATAGCATGGCCTTTGGCCCAAAAATAAAGAAGTACTTGGTCTAAAACCAAACCCATGAGCCCCAAATGGCCCGGTCTATCACTGTGCTTAATATTTACCCAAGCAACTAAGCAAACCACAAAAGCAAACCATTGAATCATGATCAGAGCAATCAAACGATCCGAATTTCTTCCGGTGGTCTGTTATAAGTCACCTGATTTCTTTTGCAGCTGGCGACCTTAATGACCTTACTGAAAAAGGATCAAGTAGTCGTGAGCTTGATAGTCTTCTAGACATTGTCATTTTCTTGCCTAGCCCTTTAAAAGGGTATATTTCAAACTATATTTATCTATCTATCTATATACATTATATATAGGACATTAAGACACATTCGTATCCTTTTCTTGTCAAGCTCTATTAGAAGGTATATTTCAAATTATCTCTATCTATTTATATATAAATATATATGTCAGGTAAGGAACATTGTTAATGGAGTGAATTAAAAACTTAATAAAATTGAGGACTTTATAAATCTTAATGTTTTAAAAAATATATATATATAAATGGAGCGATATGTTTTTCGTTAATCTTTTGTTCATAAAGTACAGCTAGAGTTATCATTCCACCCAAAAAAAAAAAAAAAAAAAAAAATGTGTACACTGAATATATGAATCAATGCATGTTTATAAAAAATAAAAAAATCACAGTGCATTCACAATAAAGAAAATCAATCATTGCCTTTGTTGGTTTTAATAAAATTCTAAATGCTTACTTAAAAAAAGAAAAAAATAGTATTTTGATTAAGTTTTTAATTCACTCCATTAAGTTTTTAATCATTGCCTTTGTTGTTTATCCCATAGGCACTAACCATATGGGATAAACAACTAGGCACTAACCATATGGGATAAACAACTAGCCACTAACCATATATATGTTTCTACACAGGTTCATTTTCTTACTTTCTTTGTTGCATCAACTGCACGTGTCATGGATTAGTGTTGGTCCTTCATGTATGAGAGTAACTGAGTTGATTTTGATCCAAATTGTGACATTTGGGTTGGTTAAATTGCTTTTGCAGCTTCCCGCTAAAATGAAATGAGGGAATGGAAAATTTGCTTATATTGATACTGAAGGAACTTTGTATCCTTCCTGTTTGTTCATCCCTCCTAACATCAGAATTTGGCATATATTGTAGTTATCTTTTATGAAATCTTTAAAATAAAACAACTATCCGCCAATTTTTATGTTCTCTCCTCAACTATATATTTTAGTAGAGTTTTGCTGCTCATCATTTACATCAATTGCAAAAAATTTGTCTTCACTGCTTTGGGGGAATTCAGGTGAGAATCACAATATTCTCCCATTTTAATCTCGAATCATACTTGTTTAATTTCTGAATCAACAACTCTGAGTCTCACAGGTCTGGAAGGACACATCTGGCACATACACTCTGCATTTCTACCCGGTTCATTTTCTTACTCTCTGAGTTTGGCATTGGTATTATGAAGTGTGGGTTGGGAATCACTTATAAATTTGCTCAGCCCAGAACCCAGTGATATTATATGCAAAGGCGAATGTAGGGGTGGACTCTGGTGGGTTTGAGCCCACTAAAATAAAAATAAAAATATTACTATACTAATTTTAGCTCAACCTAAAAAAAAAAATTATTGATAGATTAGTTCACTCAATCAAATCCAAGTCAACTCAGCTACTATACTAAAATAAATACCCAAACCAAATAAGCCCATGGTCGGCCTTGACCTAGGGCGACAAAGGCGGTCGCCTAGGGCCTCAAAATTTATAGGCCCATGGATGATGGGTCACCAAAAAAGAAAATATTTTTAGGGCAAATCATTTCAGCCTCCCCAATCGCCTCCATCTCTATTCTCGTTCTTGACTCTGAACTTGCTCCCTCTCTCTTTCCCTGCAACTGCAAACTACAAAATCTACAAGAATCATAAGTTCAAAGCCCATATATTTTAATTTATCTATCTATCTACAGGAATCAAAAGTTCAAAACCCATATCTTTCACTTCAAAAGTTCTTATCTATAAGAATCAAAAGTTCAAATATAGGTAATGATGCTATGTTGGCAGATATCTAACGCATCGATATTTCATGCTCTGAGATAGTGTGCTTATAATCCAAATGCAGTCGGCCCTGGTGATCTACCAGACGGTGTCGAGCCGAATGATGACAATGATGGCACGAACCTGGATGACAATGACGGAGATGATGGCGACACAAATAAGAGAAAGTCTACAATATTTCAGGGTACCATATCTTCGGGATCTCTCAGTCGTTGGATTATTCATCAGATGGATTCCACCATCTCATACATCTAACGCCAACTTGGAGGACGACCCATGGGATGGGACCATCTACTGGGGGTATAAATATTATATTTTTTGTTTTTGTTTTTTTCTTCGGTTTTTAGTGCTTATCTTAATTTTCCAGGTTGGAAGGGGTGGATTCTGGTGGGCCTTAGGCCACCCAAAAAAAAAAAAAAATTATACTAATTTTAGCCTACAGCTAAAAAAATAAATAAATAAATTTATTAATAGTATTAGCCTATCCAAAAATTAACTCACCCAATAAAGTCCAAGTCAACTCAGCCACCGTATTAAAGTAAAGACCCAAACCAAATAAGCCCAGGACCAATCCTGACCCAAAGTGACAAAGGGCCTCAAAATTTATAGGCCCATGGATGATGGGCCACCAGAAGAAATTTTTTTTTTTTAGGGTAAATCATTTCAGCCTCCCCATTCGCCTCTTATTTTTAGGGCAAATCATTTCAACCTCCCCAATCGCCTCCATCTCTATTCTCGTTCTCAACTCTCTCTCTCTCTCTCTGCAACTGCAAACCACAAGATCTACAAGAATCAGAAGTTCAAAACCCATATATTTCAGTTTATCTATCTGTCTGCAAGAATCAAAAGTTCAAAACCTTTTACCTATATCAAAATTCATATCGGCATATCATTTCAGATTGTTCAAAAAATCAAAACACATATCTTTCAGTTTCCATCGCCCGCTGTTCCAGTTCGGGTTCGCCGTTCGCAAGCTTCAGCCGCTGTCTCTCAACTCTCAAGCTTGCCCCCCCCTCTCTCTGCAACTGCTAACTTGTATGTATGGGTATTGTTTTAATTTTTTTTCTAAATCAACTAATCAAGGTCTGTAATTCTTGTTTTGCAAACTAAATCCTATTTGGTGAAATTTTATATGTTCTTTTATATATATATATATATATATATATATATATATATATTTTACAATATAAAGTAACAAAATTTGCATTGCATTTTGTGGTAATCATTGCAGGTAATCACCGTAATCTACATTTTATTTCAGCAAAACAATTTTTTTTTTTTTTTTTTTAAATTTCTGTAACTCTATTTATTTATTTTTTTATTATTATTATTTTTTTCTCTGTGTCAATTATGTCTACAAGAAAATTTGAATCTGGGCATGAAAAAAGAAAGAAAAAAAATAATCTGAATTGGATTAGAAATCTGCAGAGATTGATTCTGAAACAATTTTTATCAACATGCAAAGCTTTTTGAAAATGGAAATATTTTTAGAACTAAAAAAAAATCATAACAAGAACTTTGACAAACAAAAGTACTTAATGTAGGGTAAGGCTAGTTACTTCTTGAAATTTAAAATACTTACAAAAAGCATGCTTTTGAGTGAATTCCATAGTGATGGAAGGGCTCACACTCTGCTTCCACTAGTAGATTCTCAAATAGGATTAGTAAATTCTTCAAAAGAAGATATAGGGTACTGAGTGGTGAATTGTTTAGAAATAAATTGTTAATTTTTTTAATTAATTGCCCAAATAGGATTTTCTATGCCTTAATCAGTCAATTGTCTAAAGAAACATTGTTAGTCAACTAAAATTGAAGTAAAAAATAGTTGATTTTGGTTGATATGTTTTGATTTAGCTGGATCCGCCCTTGATACTAATAATGTTTTGTTTCACATAGAAATACAATCTGTGTAATGCATGAAGGATATATTGCCATATTTTTATTTTCAAATTTTGGTTTTTGATTTTCTTTTGTTATTAGAATGCAGAATATTAGGATATTGATTTGTTAATTTTGAAGATTATTCCTAAATGATGCATTGTACTTTGTTATTAAATTAATTTAACATAAGAGCTGAGTATAATATGTGTTAATCACACCTATCTGTAATAACACCTCTTTCTACGGATAGGTCTCCAACATTTTGACTGAAAGCATAGTTGGGTTGGGTTGATACACGATACAAATATTACTTAGATGGTGGTGTTTTAATTGTTATGAGTGAGATTGTGAAACATCTTCCTCACAACTTGAGTGTTTTCTTATTTTTAGGGTTAGCATTGGGCCTTAACATTTAGCAAGAACAAGGTTCAAGAAACATATCTCCTCAGTCATCAGGTAACAAATTATCTACTTTTTCTAAAATTTTAATCCGCATTTTTACCTATTGGTTACGTTTATTTATTCATGTTTTACATACTAATTTTTTGTTTTTGTTTTTGTTGCTACACACATGTATATAATATTGTTATGATGTGATGCTCGAACAATTTATTAATGGGAAGTTTAGTTTTCAATTTCAGAATATATGTTTTACAAGTTTATTAACGCTTTTAAAGCTTTTCCTCTTTTGTCTTAATAATATAGGTCTCTTTTACGAAAGAAGAGAGTTGATGGGAATGGGTGGAGTGGGCAAAAAAAATAGGTATGCTTTTTTTGCCTAGCTAATTGAATTATATAAATCATCCTACCGTTGTAACAGTGATTTTTGTTTTTGTTTTCTTCGTTTTTTAATGTTAATCTTAAATTTTCAGCTTGGTCGACCAAGCTTTTATGGGAACGTAGTATTCATGTCTATAATGAGCGCTATCCTTCCCAAGTAGATTTTTTTTCCCGTGTTGAATGTTGTTTTATTTCTCTTTATAAGAATAGCCTAGTGTTAGATTTAGAATAAATCACTTGTACTTCGTATGAGAGTGAAATAAAAGTCAGACACTGGTTTTAATACCCTCTACTCTCTTAGAATAGATGAATGTTCGTGTAATTTGTTTTACTCCCTTATAGTTTTATCCCCTTGTAATCAGGATTATGTGGATCAACAAAACCTTTTAGTTATGCTATATAAACTTCTTCCTGCAAAATACGGTAAATACAAATCCGGTATCGACTATAAATAATAATCACTATTATCTCCGTATCGACTCAAGTTGTCTCGAATAGCAGTTAAAGGGCGACATGTTTGCTTCATATCATACTGCCGTATAAGTAGTGTGCTGATGATCCGAATGACCTACCGGTTCAAGATCCAAATCCGTTCCCGGTTCAGAATCCAAATGTGATTGGCCCGAATGACAACAACAACCCGGATGACAACAACCACCCGGATCCATGGGGATTCGACCTTCTCTTTGGGGTTAATTGCTTTTTTGTCGTTAACTGCTTTTTTGTTTTTGTTTTTGTTTTCTTCGTTGTTGATCTTGGTTGGTAGACCCAGCTGGAGCAGGATAAGAAATAACTGCCATGGGTGGGATCATGAAGGTTTATGATGGGTAACAGTGCCCTTCATGGCAATGAGATCTTAATGTCTGTTATGCTTGGCGCGCATAACATTGTCCCTCCCCAAGTAAGACAGCAAATCATTGTGAGAGCAGACATAGAAGGTTAGGGCATATCACTGAGTAAGACTTTGAACAACAAATCATTGTGAGAGCAGACATAGAAGGTCACGTAGGGCATATCACTGAGTAAGACTTTGAAGAACATCATTTTTTTTTTCCTTTGTTGAATGTTCATCCTTACCCTTTTACTTCTGTTCATAGGAGTAGCCTAGTGTTACATTTAGAATAAATCACTTCTTGTACTCTGTATGAGGTGAAATAAAAGTCAAGACACTTGGTTTTAATCCCCTTTACTTTTATTGGAATAGATAAATGTTTTTGTAATTTGTTTTACTCTCTTATAATTAGGATTATGTGAATCAACAAAACATTTTGGTTATGCTATATAAACTTCTTCTTGCAAAATACGGTGAATACCATTAAAAAAAAAAGTCATTTTTATATTCATTTGAAATAATTTGAATTTTAAGTGACGAGAAATAAGAACTTATTCGAATTCCCTATGAAGTCGTGAATGAAAATACTTCAATCAAGGTAAATATTATATCACTAGACCTTTTTAATGTATAAAGATTAAATCTTTGAAAGAAAACGAGAGTTTTGTGTTATTTTATATGCATTACTATTTTTGAATTCTGTTTTATTAGGTACATTTTCTAAATGAATTTAGTAATTTTTTTATTTCATATGAGGTAGGGTATAAAAACAATGGTGATTGTTTTGGAAAGTGTGTGGGTATATATATATGTATTGGGTTTCAATTTAAACCGCAAGAGTATATATTGGGTTTCAATTTATCAAATGAACCAGCTGGGCTCAATTCCATTACAATTCATGTGTAAGAAGAAATCGTCAAAAAACTGACAGAACAGTTTCTTCCATTTCTCAAAAATTTCTCTCTAAAAAATCAATTGACTCGCAATATACAGGATGTGACATTCATTATACCGCCAAAGAATAAGGGTGGGGATGGTGAGGAGCTGATAGATATCTGCACATGAGCTTTCGTTGATGAATATTCGACTCGTAAATCAAAGCAGCCCGCTGGTTCGCTGCCTTGATGGCCCTCCTGGAAAGAGCTTCATGATCCATCCCAACACCCTTTCCACCACCTTGTTAGAAGGACAGGCAAATTATCATATTTAAAACTAAATTAAGGATGCATAGAGAGACCTACAGATTACCTATATATGCAATCCTCAAACATTCTTCACTCTCAAGGATGTTCCACAAACAAGGACAAGCTGAATACATATTGTAAAACACATTTTTACATGTAGTTTTGCTTTACTGTGTTAAGCTGACCTAAATATTGACTCTGCTCGAACCAAATATTGAGCCCCGAACAACTATTGACCACTTTAAGGTTGTTAACACTTCCATCCGCACATTTTTTACACATGTACACTTGCACGACATGTATTTACCAACAAAACAACACCACCCATTATCCTAAATTTGAATGGGGCCAAGCAGGACATACATAGGCATGAAATGATTTCACATTCAAAGTCAATCACCAAATTTTTTTGACGATTCTCCACCGACCCCCCCAAACAAAATTTTCCAAAACCTAGCAGAAGCAAAGCAATGAACTACAGACAGAGATAGTCAACTAACATCGAAAAGGATATGGGTAATTATTCCTTCAAATTTCCAATCCAAATAAATAAATAAAATTTTTTTAAAAAAATTACAGCTAATGATTGGCTGTTTTTACTGAAATTTGCATGTTCTTTTGTGAATTTGTTTACGGGGTGTTCAAAAAAACCATTCGCCTCTAAATTGGCATAAATCTGCAAGCTGATGCACATATCCAGTTGTCTTAGAGCTTTCATATCCATTTGAGATGTCTTAATGGAACGTGACCCTTGTGTAGATGATAATGCCATCGCAACAACTCCAGGTCCATTTGTAGTGAATCTATTCATATATAATATCGTATATACTCTTCCAGGGTTGTTTTTTTGATAGAATTGGCTAAAAGGGTTTTTGGGTTTAAACTTTTCCAAGCATACCAAGAGACTTATAATGAAATCTTAGTCAACTTGGTCTTATCATTCTATGATTCTCCACCAACCCCCCCAAACAAAAGGATTTGTTTGGCTTCTCATTCAAGGAGGGTTCAGAACAATATTTTCCATAAAAGTTCAGTTAAGTGAAATAATAGTGTAATTAATTTCCTCCGTGGTCTGAATCTATTGATGAGAGACCTAAGGACTAATTGAGAACCTGAAGTTATGTTTTTATTTCTGACAAGAATTTTTATAGTTTCTGGAAATTAATGAGTATTCAATATTGTTAGATGGGGGTGTTAGACCATGTGTGTGTGGTAGGTGGGTGTGCTAGTTGAAATATGTATTTATTTCTTGCTTGTATTCCAATGGTTAAATTATGGTGTTGAGTAGATTCATTAAGAAAATTGAATGCTAGTAGACTCGTAATACATAGGTTTTCTAGGTCTTTCACGTTGAGTTTCTGATACGATGTTTATTCCATCTCATTTCGAGGTTTTTAACCACGAGTAGGGGAGTGGGCTCCAGTTTTATGAGATTTGTATAGACCCAGACACACATGTATTTATAATTGCACCATGTCTAGGGTGGGGGTTTGACAAGGACATTTATTGTGGTTTAAGTGCTATATTCATATTGATGATATGTTTGTTTTATAATAAGTTACCTGAGGGGTTCAAGCCTGAAAAATTACCTGTTAAATTAGATGGAAATTTTTTATTTTTTATTTTTTCCTGAATGCATATGGAACATTGCTGTTAATGGTAGTGAGATTACTTGTACTTTTTTTATATTTTTTTGATAAGTGAGATTACTTGTACTATTTAATGTCCACTTTGGTGATGTTTGGAGGTTACTAAGTCGCCTGCTTTTGTTCAGATTTGGAATCACTGCCTAATATACTGCAAAGGAAGTATGCATTGTTGCGTGACTTAGATAAAAGCTTACAAGGTATGTTTGCATTGATAAGGATTATTTAGCCCATTCTATCAGTATCTCTTGCATTCTTTCTTATTATAGAAATGAAAATTTTATTCACCATGCCAAATGTGCTTTCTTCTTTTTGCTGATGGAACTAAAATCGACTTGTTTTTTGTGTGTGGTTTGAGCATCTTTCTATGTGCTTCGTTGTTGTCATGGACTAGATGATTCTGGCAATTTTGGTTAGGTTTTCTTTTGCAAGAGTGAGAGGTTTATATTGTCATAGATGACCTTATAGTAACACTTTTTCATTTTTTGATATGGGAGGTGATATTATTTAGGGTAAAGTGCAAAAAACCCCCCTTCAACTATTGGCCATTTAGCAAAAAACCCCCCTATCTACTAATTTGACACATAACCCCCCTGAACTAATCAATTTGGTGCAATTAACCCCGTCCGATGATAAGCCGGTTGAATTTGGCCGTGAAGACGCACATGATGGGTCACATGACAATCCAAATTTCTTAAAATGACCATACAACCCTTTATGAAGCTAAAAGACCATAATGCCCCTTTTATTACCGTTAAATCCCAACCAAACATTGCCTTATTTATGTGGTCAGAAACCATAAATCGCCTCATTCTTTATCTTCCTCGATCAGCCACAGCTTAGGTGAAGAAATCTGTATATCCATCGATATTGATACCCCAAATCTCTCTCCATATCTCTGTCTCGCAATCATGTCTCTCCTTTTGTTTATATATATATATATATCATTCAATCAAGAGTTTTTTAAGCTTTGCTTTTTTCTTTTTTTTTTGGCTGCAAATAATGAGCTCCATGGGTGAATCCTCTTTCAGCAATGGAATTTGCAGAGGTCCTTTCAAGAATAGGAAATGTGGTTGTGGTATCAACTCTTCTGTATACATTTCTGAGTCCAAAAATAATCCGAGAAAGCTATTTTACAAGTGCAGTATACGTTGTTGCAAGTTTTGGGAATGGCAGATTCCACTTGGTGCACAAGATGAAGATGAAGTCCATTTGAAGAATATGAAATGCTTTTGTGGTATCAAGTGTTCTGTATACATTTCTAACTCCAAAAATAACTTGGGAAAGCTATTTTTCAAGTGCAGTACTGGTGATTGCACATTTTGGGAATGGTGGATTGCACCTACTTCTAGGAATAATGGATTGCACGAAGATGAAGTTGTACCGGGTCATCTTGCTCATGCAGCAAGTTTTGGAAATAATCAGATCCTCCTAAAATGTAGAGATGAATGCAGAGTTCATTGCAATTGTAAAGGGAATGTTGACGTTAAGCATGGTTTTGTTTGGGTTGTCTTTTGTAGTTTTAATTATTGCTCTTGTTCTTAAGTGAAAAGTCTGTGCTGGGAGTTAGTAAGGCTGTTTTTTGTAAGGTTCTTCTTTCATTTGGTGTTAGGAGTTGTTAAGCAAATTCACTGAATTTGTTGTTGTAGTATGAATACAAGGCTTGTTAACTATGTACTAAAGTTGTTAAAATGAAATGGTTATTTTGTAGTTGAAATGCAAAGCTGCAATTTCTGGACAAGTTTTGAATACAACTAAGCTGCAATTTCACATATAATGCATTGCTACCAACTGAGCTGCAATTGACAATTACTTATATTTTCTGCATTGAATACCTGGACATATATATATGACAACTCACAGTATATAATACCTGGACATATGTAATACAAAATATAGCTCAATTATAAGAAAAGGTACTGAACTTTTATTACACAACCAAAGTAGCATTATAAGCTAAATGTTTCTGACTACCAATAGTATTTAGCAAACAGAACATTAAGGTTGTAAGGTTCTTCATGTCAACAGTTACAATTAGCCAACAAAAAACATTGTTAAGTTCTTTATGTCAACAGAAACCAGAAACAGTTCAGTACTATGAACCCCTAAAAAGCTGCAAACACCTTCACTACCAACAGGTATAGTCACTGTCCATCATTAACCTAGAAGATGATGCTTGTGTTGATGTGAGTTGAGAAAATGGAATGCTTTGAACCTATCATCAATAACATACACAAGTGAGGAGATTTGCAAATAAAGTAGCAAGTAGAATATAGTAGCAAAAAAAATAATAGTAATAATAATAATTATTATT